GCTAAAAAAACCAACAACCACAAAAAGCCCAAAACAACAGACAAGAGATAATCCTTGTCAAACGCTAGATCGATATAGATAGATATACCCGCGCTGTATATCAGACATTAACACAATTGAGCGGCTTCAGGAGTAGAGTTCTCCTCTCTTCTACTCATCATAGAATTCCCTATGTCTCCAGGCTTGAAATTTTGGGCTTGGACAACCTGGAACTCCGCCGCCTGCGGTCCAATCTAAGTATAGTACACATAATTGTCTGCTACAATGTCTTGCATGTCAACAATTTCTTCAGCTTCAACCACAATAATACACGGGCAAATAACCGATACAAACTGAAGGTAAACCACTCCAAACTCGATTGCAGTGTCCAACTTTCTAGCCTGGCGCCTTAACCGCTAGTTCAAACTGGCTCTATAAATACATGGATATAAATGAATATAAAGCAATGGTTGAATTCAGCCAGTTCGCACCAGTTCGGGAGAACCGGTTGTTAACTTTCTGAGTAGTTTGGTGAACTGGTTGTTGGAAGAAATTATTGAGGCAGAGAACCGGTTATTAAAATTATTTGAATCCCACCACTGGATGAAAGCATAAGTTAAGCACAGAATTAGAAACAGGTGAAAACTTCCAAGGAAAGATAATAGAAAAACAAATGAAAAAATTGAAAAGGTGAGGAGGATAACAAGGCATTGGGAGTCTGCTGTGGCTGCTACATTTGAAATTTCGATGTGAATAACTCTTGTGACCTCTGGTGGCTAATTTGAGACACCGTGTCAGAGATCCATGGCAGCGTGAGATCCTCGGAAGCAGATTCTAGGGATCTTTGCGAGCTTTCCTTTGCTCTCACTGCTGGCATTGGTGGTTCTGCAGCAGGCGGACAAGCGAAGAAACCACAGCCGTGGTGATCGTATGGGATAAAACACATGGTTTTTAAGGAAATACACTTATTGCACCAAAGCAAATGGATGGTTCACCTTAAAGAGTAGATTCACAAAATGGGTTAACACATCATGAAATTTCTTTGTACACGCAGCCAGAAACAACAAAGTGCTGCAACCAAACTTTCTTTCTTTCTTTCTTTCTTTCTTTCTTTCTTTCTTTCTTTCTT